CGAGGCGCAGGAGCTTTGACTCGGGGCATTCCGGAGCCCCAGAGATGCCCATCGCCAGTGGGCAACTTTCACCCATTAGACGGCAGCCGGATGCGTCTGGAAATCCGTTGTTTCCTGCTGCCCCTGCCGTGTCCACCTCCGTGAGCGGGGTTCGTGGCGGCCTCGCTGGCGTGTCCCTAGCAGGCGGTGACGGCCTCTCCCTACGCGCCTGCCGCCCACTGGTGTATCCCTTTGGGGAAATTGGGCGAAGAGCCTTTCCTGCCGCGCCCGCCGGCCGCTGCCCCTTCCGGTGGCCGAGCTGTCGCTCAGTGGCAGTCTCCGCCTGGGGGTGCAGCCGGCAGCAGGCTTCGCTCCTTCCTGGCTGGCCTGTCCCCCGGCCAGTGCGTCCTTTCACGCACTGAGGTATTTCATTTTGTATTTGCTTTTGACGTCATGCCATTTTCAAATCCAGTGTTTTTTTTTTTCCTGAGTTTTATGGTTCTGGCTCTTCCATTGAGGTCTTGGCATTAGGGCTGGAGGTCATTTGCTGTGTGTTGTGAGGTGCCAATCCCTGTGTCCCTCTGCCCCGCGGATGACCTCGACGTTCCCAGTTAAAAATCCTGGGCCTCCACTTATACACTTTGCACGTAGCTACAGTCCTTAGTATCGATAAATACCATAAAGTAGTCATACGTGCCCCGAGAAGGCCAGCTGCCACTTTGATAGAGACGGTAGTGGGTGTGGGTGTGGGTAGAGGGTGTGGGTAGCGTTGAATAATCCGTCACACTGATGTCTCTTCGTCTGTCCTTTACTCTGCAGTCTTTGCTGTAGAATCTTGTACTTCTGAGTATTTGCAAATAGTTTTTCTTTACATTTTCATAAGCATGATTGTTTTACATTTTTAATGTTTGCTGCTCCGTGGAGATGTAATTTTATTCTGACCTTGTAACCTGCAACATCGGTACACTCAAGTATTAGCCATAATAGTGTCCGAGGGTTTCCCCAGGATTTTCTATCAAACAATCGCATTATCTCAGTAGAGAGTGGTTTTCTTTCTTTCTGCTATTTATGTCTTTTATTTCTTATGATCTTTAGGCAAGCAAACAGTTTACACAATGAATTTGCCATAAGAGAAAAAGCAATAAATTCGACTTAATAAAAACCGCAAACTTTTGCTCTTCAAACAGACCATGAAGAGGAAGGCAGGCCACCCCCGTGACAGGACGTAGTCATACACGGGTGAAACACGTTTATAGGCAGCAAAAGATTTTTTTTTTTTT